TGAAACCAGCCATGCTCTGATGAGGGCTGCACATTTCCACTGAGTACAGCACCTGTTTGCCTCTGTGCTGGGGAGGAGGCAGGGGTGACCCCTGCCCAGCAGGGACAGCAGTGTGGGCTGAGGGCGCGGTGAACGCTGTACTTACAGCACGCAGAGTGCATATGCTGAAGCAATTGACTCACTGGCCCGCACAAGGAAGCTGCCGTCCTTGCCTACTTTGGAGAGCAGGTCTTCAGCTCTGGAGCGAGTGATGTTGCCGTGGTACCAGCACTGATCCATCGCTGGAGCTGGAGGAAACCTGAATGCCAATACAGGACCTGCCAGAGCCGCCTGTGTGTCTCTGTGTAACGATCAGCCAGCTTCAGCTCACCAGCTTCCTGTTTCAATAGCACAGAGAGGGAAAGGAAACTCAGCCACGGACAACTTCCTCAACTTGAACAGCTCAGAGAGGGAGTGTGACATATCCCTGCAGCCCCCATTTTGCCTCTTCATGCTGCCGCTGAAGTGACGAGCAAGCCCATGTTCCCTGCCTTTCCCTCCCACTTTGTGTTCAGAAGTCCCAGCTGGTAATCTCTTCTGCTCCCTCACAGATTCAGTCCCCCAGGCTTTGGTGGCCTGACATCCAATTTATGATCTGCCAGATCCTTTGAGTTTTCATCTTTTTCCTGTCTGTCTGTCCTACCCACTGCAGGTCTCTATGGGGAATAAATAAACCTCTGATCAGAAACACACCGTGCATTAGGATACATAGCACTGACTGCCCCATTCCTGCCTTGACTAGTCCTCATATCTAACTAGGTGTGAGGGGGGGACATCAAAGAATTGAAAAAAATAAAATTACTACTGCATGTCTCCACGCATAGAAACAGACTGAAAGGCTGATTTGTGCTAGGGATTTTTGACCAAAGCTCCCTGTCAGCTACTGTGAGACGGATTCAAAGATCTTTCCTACTCTAAAATCCCCAAAGGTGGGATAGAGCAAAGCTGTGTCTGGCAACCTGCGTCAGAGGGGAGAACTGGAGCTTTCACTTCCCTTTTCTTTGTCTGTACATCTGTCCCTCAGCTATGCTGTGTGGCATGCAAAGTGCTGCATGTCCAAGACATATTTGCAGCAATGCCAGGACATTTTTACGGGGGCACTGCCTTCATGGCAATTTTTGGTTGTCTATCCTGTACCTCAACCACTCTGCCCTCTGCACATCCACATTTGAGCTATACCTGAAAGCAGAAGCTGAGCTGGGACTCAAAGTCCAGAGGCAGAGGAACGGTGCAAACCCTGCTAGCTCTATGCAAACCTTGGTTCCCAGAGCCAAGAGAAGTGCTGGAATGGCAGTACCTGGACCATGCATGAAGTGCTATGCTGTGCACAGCATTGACAGCAAGGCAGGAGAGAACAGACTGTCACTGCTCAGGGGGAGGCTAGAATGTGTGGATGTGGAGAAGAAAAGTGAACCAGCACAACCCAGCATCCATCCCTGTAAGCCTTCTTGCTGCTTTCAGTTATGCAGAGGCTTGGTCTACAGTGTCCAACTTAACCTCTGCACTGAGATGAAACTGTGGGCAGCAGCAGCCCAAAGCTGTGTAGCCAGGCCAGGGCCCTGCTAGAGGAGCAGAACTGCACCGTGCAGGGCTTCCTGTCCATGCTGAGCAAGCGCTGTCTGCACACCAAAATTAGCTCGGCTGAACCTGGCCTTCAGCTCCACCAACATCCATACAGGCCTTTAGCAGACAAACTATGGATTGGGGTGCCTAAATGGAGTCAGACACTGAATGCCATGAAGTGTCTCTGCCAGTGGATAGTAGCTATAAGCTACAGAGTGGTTATAAACTCTATTCTCCCAAACAAAATGAGAATCTGCATATGGCAAAGGCACCATGCAGTTGCTCTGACAGCTCTGCCTAGCCACAGTGCACTGCTAACCTCACCTGTACCAAGTCCTTGGGATTTCTGGTACATCCAGTCTCTTCCCTGGAGCACAGCTGCAGCAAGAAGCAGAACAGCTCTGAATGTCAACCACTGCTTGACCTCACAGTGCTGTCCATGCCTGTTGCATGTATCTGGATGCAGAGTGGACAGAGCTGCTCACAATGTGAGTTTCGATAGAATTAAACTGTTTGGAAAACTTCTCCTGATCTCTTGCGAACTAACACCAGGTAACAGGTACAAGCCCTCATTAGACATCTGAGACTAATTAGATGCATATTTAGCTCCTATCCATACCACCACCTACACAGATTTTTAGCAAGCTGCTGGTATTTCCTTCAAATCCTGTGTCCAGGCACACACTACTCCTTGACTTGGAGACAAAATCAAGGGGAAGGGTTCCAAGTACAAATGATGATTATGGCAATTGAATGTGCAGGCTGGTTTCTGTGAGTATTTCTTGGCCCTAAAAGAAAGCAGAGTACAGCTCCAGCTGCTCAAAAGTTAAATCCCAATCCCCTAATATAAACAGTTCTGTGATCCCTGATGGCTTGTTAGATTGGAATAATATCTTGTCTCCAAGACACTACAATAGACACTTTATCTAAACTGTTTTTGCTATAGATGTCCAGGTAGGTGTCCATGCACCAGCCTCTCCAGAACCAGTAAATAAATACTGACTGTGACATAATTCAGGATGTACAGTGGTCACCCAACCCCCCCCCCCCCCCCCCCCCCACCCCCCCCCCGCACCCGCCTCCCCCCGCA